GCCTCCTCGTCCCGGTTTTTCCCCAGCTGACTCCTGCTCTCCTTTGTCTTGGGGTGCCGCCAGGACGGGCTCTCACAGCCCAAGGATGCTCTGAACGGAGCAAAGCAGAGCACAACCATCCCCCCCTCCCATCCCTTTGTTTCCAGGCGTTTGCGAGCTCAGCTGGTTTGACGCGGCGTTTCGTGTGCCCAGGCAGATAAACCGACTACTCAGTGTCTTTTTTTTTTCTTTTTTTCTTTTTTTTTTTTTTTTTTTTTCTTTCTGTTCTGAGTTATTTCGGGTGATTTAGTTTGCAGGGAACACATCCCAGCTGCAGGCTGTGCCGGAGGGATGCGGCAGCTTCCTAGAACGGGGTGAATTCACCAGAAGTGTAAGTGGAACATCTCGTGGTTGTCCTCTGGTGTCCTCTTTGGGTGAGCAGAGCCATAAGTTCTCAGCACCACGCTAGAATCCGGGATCACCGGCCCTTTTCCTGGAGAACTTTGACCCCAGTTTGCATGACTGGGGCTTTGGGGATGGGGAGCACAGGGGAAGGTGAACAAAACCCAGGTCCAGGCTCAGCCCTGATGGCTGAAATCAGCCTTTAATTTTTTATCCTTCACTTGTACAAGTTTTAATATCATTATCGTTATTTTTTAGATTCCTACTGCAGTTTCATTTCCCTCAGGTGTCGGGTGTGATAGCGAAACCATCACCTGGATTTGTTTGAATGCTTTTTTTTTTTTTTATGGCAGGTGTACACAGAGCACTTTGAGCGTGTCAAACAGCCCCTGAGTAAATCAGGTTGTTTGCTCTATTACTTTATTCATACAGGTTCGATGCTCTGGCTGATGCATCTGAAGTGCTGTGCCATCTGGAGCAAAAATTAAATACTAATTTGGCCCCTGGCCTGGAAAAATAACAACCCTGTGCCCCGCTAATAACTGGCAGTGGAAGGTTAGAGCCCCTGACAGAAGAACTGCTTGGGGGCAGTGTGGAAGGAGCCCAAAATGGACTAATTGAGGTATTTAAAACATATTAAAAAAGGGAAAATAACGCTCCCAGCCCTGCGTGCCGGAAGCGGGCTGGAGGGATGATGTGATCCCGTTACCAAGTCACGGGGCTGATGCCCACAGGTGACATCCTGGTCCTGAGTGGGTGGTGGAGCTACTGGAGGTAGGTGTGGTGGTGATCTTCCTCATCTCCCAGCCTTGCTGCTGAAGGAAGCCCCCTCCACAACCTCCCAGAGCTCTGCTCCACCACCTGCTCAGCTCAGGCTTGTATATTTTTGTCCCCTGGTAAAAGTTTACACCAAGGCTGTTGCATCCCAAGGATGGATTCCTTCTCCTTTCCATCTGAGTTGGACATTCCAGGTCTGCTGGTTGGGTCGCTGGTGTTGCTGTTTGGTCAAAGGCTGTTTCAGATTTGGGGGGACAAGTTGTGCAGGTGGGTCAGCTGTGCTGGGACCTCTCGCTTGTGCAGCCAGGGCTCAGGTCCACTCAGCTCCAGGTGTGACTGGAGATACCTGTGATGGACCAGCCGTGAAGGATACCTTGGGCTCAGTGTGCTCTGGATGTTCTGGGGTCTGTCAGAGCTTCAAAGTGTGCCAAATGGAAATAAGAGGGTGACTGCTGGTTGCTGCCACTCTTCTTGGCCAGAGGGTGGTCCTGGCCATGTCCTGGGGGACAGGCAGAGATGGGGAGGAGGAGGAGGATTCCACAGCAAGAAAGTGGCAGAGCTGCTCCAGACTGAAACTGAACCAAGCCAGGAGATTCTACGCAAGAAGGACTGACTTCCAGCTGCTCTCCTGGACTAAATGATGTGTGGGATGATAGGACACCTGGCTTTGTTGAGAGGGCTTTTGTGCTTATGGACCATCTCTCCAGGTGTTTCCCCTTGGGTCACCCCTCCCAGCGACCTGCTGTCACCTCCACTTTGGCTGTGTGGCAGAAGATGTGTTGTGAGTGATTCATTCATAGCCATAAAACACCACATGGATGTGGAAGGGGTGGAGAGAGGCACGGCTGGTGTTCATCTCTTCCACTCCCCCTGTCACCACCTGGAACCTTCTGCCTTGGGATGACATGGCTGAGACGAGGTCCTTTCCCACTGAATCAGCACAGTAAACCCAAGCAACTCCATCCCTTGGGCCACGGCAGGAGGTGCAGGCCCTTCTGGTGGTCCTCAGCCACCTTGGAATATCGGTGTGGAAGCCTGGAGGGCGTTTCTTTGGGCCTTGAAGCTCCCCTGGTCTCGGTGGTGGTTGGTGTGGCCGAGCTGTGTTTGTTTATTTTTGTTTCCTGCAATCATTCCTCAGAAAGCCGAGTGTTGTTGACACGAGATAAGATCGACGGGCACAGACGAACCTCCCCTGTCCCTGTTGCCCTGGAACCGCTGAGAGTCGGGCTGGGAGTGGCCGTCCTGCCCGTGTCCCCACCCCGACTTGCTGACGGGGCGCTGAAGTGGCATCAGTGATGATGTGATATGGGGCTTATCTGCAAGTGAGCCCAGTCATCATCGCCTGAGCCTGGCAGGTGCCCTGGCTTGGGTGAGAAACGCCAGTGATCCCATGGAAAACGCGCTCCAGGAGAGGATCCAAACCCACGTGGCTTCACCACAGCCACAGGCAGCGGTGATCTCCTTCCTGACTTGAGGAATGGGAAAGCCTTGGCGTCTCCAGGGGCGGTGCATTGTTCCTCTGTGCCAGGACGCAGCAGGACCCACCAGGGATGGAGCTGCATTGATTTTGGATGCCTTTCCCTGCTGGAGCAATGATGTGGGCCATCCAAAGTGCTGTTTTTCTGCCTGTCTGGCACATTTAAACTCCACCAAAATGAAAACCAAACCCACGTCCTGCTCACAAGCGGATGCAGTGCCGGAGGGATGACAAGGGGAGACAAGAGGCCGGCCTGGCCTGGGTACTCCAAGAGTATTAAAAAGCCCCAACAGCAGTGCATGGATGGGCAGCAGGAGCTCGTGGACCAAATTAGCTGCAAGCAGCTGCCTCAGCGTAGCCGAAGGCTGACGGGTCTCAGGTTGCTCCAGTGCTGGAGCTAAAGCTGGATCTGCCAGCAGAAAAAGTGGAAGAGATGCTGAGAATCAGGAGGAGGAGCAAGGGCTGGGCTGTGGAAAGCCCAGGCAGGGAAGTCCTGCTTTTTTTGCTCCAGCTCTGGGACTGTGAATGTGAGAAGCAAGCAGGAATGACTTGTCTGGGTTTAGTTTGGCTTTTTTTTTTTTTTTTATTGTGTGTGGGTTTACATGACACCAGGGCTGCTGGCAACAGGTGGGATACCCCTGGCTGCAAGAGGGAAAAGGATCTTTGTGGTGGATAATCCTGTTTGAGATAGTGTACTAGCCAAGTCCTTTGGTCTCCCTTCTCCGTGGAGGGGGTGGATGGAGATCCATGTGCCAGCACAGGCACAAGGGTCATCGGCATGTTGGAAAACATGGAAGCGACCGAGAATGGTCACAGAGGAATGGGGACTCATCCCTCAAAAAGGTGTTGGGATTGATAACCCAGCTGAAGTGCATCTGCACCAATGCCCACAGCGTGGGCACCAACAGCAGGAGCTGGAAGCCACTGGGCATCAGGAAAGCTGTGACGTGGTTGCTGTCACAGAGACACGTGGCATTGACTCATACAGCTGGATTGCTGCAATGAATGGGGATAGACTTTCCATCATTTACCAGCTGCCCTAGCTGACTGGAAGTGAGTAGATGTGACACTCTGCCACAAGAAGGGCTGGAAGGAGGATTTGGGGAACTACAAGGCTGTCAGTCTGGTGACGGGAGCAGATCACCCTGAGCCATCATGTACAGGACAACCAGGGGATCAGGCACAGCCAGCCTGGGTTTGCACGGGCAGGTCCTGCCTGACCAACCTGATCTTCTATGACAAGGTGACCTGCTTGGTGGATGAGGGAGAGGCCGTGGGTGTGCCTGCCTGGACTTTGGTAAAGCCTTTGACGCCACTTCTTCATGGAAAGGGTTGTCCAGCCCTGGCACAGGCTGTCTGGGCCAGTGGTGAAGTCACCATCCCTGGAGGGGTTTAAAACCCGTGTGGACGTGACACTTGGGGACGTGGTTTAAGTGGTGGCCTTAGCAGCGCTGGGCTAGCAGTTGGGACTCGATGGCCTTAGAGGGCTTTTCCGACCTAAACGATTCCATGATTCTGTGATTTTATTATCCCCTCGGAGGATTAATCTCGCGGCTAATGCAGCTTTTCACTTGCAAAGCGCCTTAAGAGGAAACGGCGCCAGGAGAGCGTTTGGAGAGAGAAACTGAAAGTGCTGAGCAGCAGGCAGCTGCCCTCCCGTTCCCGCCGTGCCACTATCGCTCTCCCTGCCTGTGGAATAGCAGGGGTTTTCCCCAGCTTCTTGGCTCACAGGAGTATTTCAGGGGAAAATATAAGAGCTCCGTGCAGCTTTCCCAGGAGTGGGAGCAGGGGGTTTCCAGCTCTCCAGTCGGTCCGCTTGAATCCAGGAAGAGCAGCCTGGCAGGTAAGAAAGTGGGAGAAGCCGAATGTCCCATCCGAACTGGGATGGGAGGGAGCGGAGCGTCCCACCCGACGACTTCCAGCTCCAACAAATCCGCCCGGCCGTCCCTGCCTCCCTCCCACCGCGCTCTCGGAATTAAATCGCCGGCGTATCGTAAGGATCAAATTAAACTTCTCTCCACGCAGAGCTTTGTCTCGAGCAGGCAAATATTTCCGCGGCGCTTTAACGACTCTCGTTTTCCTATTGTTCCCTATAAAAACCCGTCGCCAGGCTGGGCTTCCCCCGGGGCGATTTCCTGGCTCAGTTCTAAACGCAGCTGCGGGTTTGGGGTTTTTCTTTCGCTTTTCAGCTGAGAAGTGCCGGATTAAGACCCGACATCTCTCTCTCTCTCTCTCTCTCTCTTGGTGTGTGAGATAAAAGGCGAGGCTTTTGGAGGCTGTGAGAGTGGTGGCCATCCAAAGTGGCGCGGGATTGCGCGGCGTTGGGTGGTTTTGTGGCGGAATAAACCGGGATGAGCTGGAGCCCGTCTGCTGGAAGCTCTCGTGGTTGGATGTCTGTCAGCTGAGCCCTTCACCGCGGCCTCGCTTGGCGTTCACACCAAAACACCCTCACCATCGTGCTGAGCGTTGTTTGGGGGCGGCACTTCGGGAGTAAGACCAGGAAAAGTGGATCATTTCCTCGTCTGCTGCTTTGCCGGGAGGCGGGGGTGGAGTTGTGTGCTTCTGACGGCTCTCGGGGCTTCCTCTTTGTATCCTCTTCCTCCCGTCTCCCGCAGCATCTTCCCCATTCAGCTGCCATTGATGCAGCAGGAGGAACGAGTCAGGGGGGTGATGGGAAAGGGCTGGGATATGTTGCAGCCAGGTGAGGGGGACGGAGCTGGAGACAAGCCTGGCATCAGGTGGTTTGTTCCAGCCTTGGATGCTAAAACTCTGAGCAGGAATATTGCTGGGAGTTTGGAACTGGGCTTCACGGGGATGGCAAGTGTTTTCCCAAAGCCAAGCAGGTATTGTCTGTGCCTAAGGACTAAAAGTTATATGGTACTCCATAAAAGTGGGCTGGAGAAGAGGGATTCTGCTGCTGTCCCATCAGGCACCTCCAAAAGGAGCGTTTCTAACACAAGGTGATGTGATTGAGTCCTGGTTTACACTGAGGATGGAACTTGAATCTCTTTAGGTTTCTTTTTTGGATGGAATTTAAAAGAGGAAAGAAGGAAGCGCTAACAAAAGTTTAGTTTCTTTCTTAGAAAAACATCTCTTTTGTAACAAGAGTGGCTTTTCCTCATCAGGATCCCCTGAATCCTTTCTGCCTCCTTTAGGTTTGATTTATCTCTGCTATTGATGTTCTAAACCAGAACATCCAACTTAGGAGCAAACCGCGCTTGGTCTCAACACCCAGGGTGCACGTTGCCTGCTTCATCTTCTAAATCAATTAATTTATTCTTTAGTATTATGAATTATTCATTGTGAGGGTAGCAGCAGATCCCAGACTATTTCCATGAGGATGTTGTGTTATATTTTCCTGCCTTATGAACCTGAGACCTTTCTGCAAAGCCATGCAGATGGATGCTGCTGCCAGGCTGGGCACAACTTAGGTTTTGTGCGAAATACCCACTTTGCTGCTCAGAAATTTGCCCTCTTTTTTTCCTTATCATTAAAATAATGTTTTCCTAAGCCAGAGCAGAACAAGTCAGGACTTTGTGGTGGAGTTTTTTTACGCTGGAGCATCATTCCCATAAGATTGGACCTCAAAGATGTGTCACGATGCCCTGGCAGGTTGTTTGTCGGGATGGGATCCTTCCTTTAGGCTGCTCTGGATGGGCTGACCAGGCTTGCCTTGGATGCCCACATCACTCCAGACAACCCTCAGTGACGCTGTGCTGGAAATTCCCCTCTTCCACCCCAAAACCAGCCCCGATTTCTCCATGAGGCCTTGCTGTGTGGCAGGCTGCTCTCTGCTTTTGTTTACATCTGGCGGAAAACTTCTTAAATTTCCTGGCAAGGGAGTAATTCTAATCCCTTTCAATGAGATCAACGGATTAGTGTCTCAGATGCTTATAAAATTGTGAGGATTAGCCGAGCCTCCCCCCGTTTTCTTTCTACGCCACGTAACATCATCGCCGCGTTTCGGGAGGGGGATCTCTCTGCTGTTACCAGGAGCTCAACCGATTTCTGGGAGCCTTTGCGAATCAAAACGCTTAAACCCCAATGTCTTCATCCTCTCCCTCGCTCCCTCTGGATTTTTTTGCAATATTAGGGTGTTTTTCTCTTTTCTTCCAGCATCCCTGGCACCGAACTGCGGTAGCCACTCGGCAGATACGTTGGGTTTGCGTGGCTTGGCTGCGTTGAGGCGCCCGTGCGGGTAAGTTGGGAGCTGAGCCCGAAGCTTTCCTTGGTTAGAGACTTGCAAAATCACATCTCGAGAGGAGCAGATCCCCCGAAACGATGCTCTTTCATGAGGTTGCCCCTTATTTCAAAGGATTCGGGCTTTTGTGGTCCATCCCCGGAGGGGAACGGCGCTTCTGGGCCGACGGGATGCTCTCACCCCGGCTTTTGGGAGCGACGGGAGCGGGGATGAAACTCCACACACCCAACATTCCTGCATCCTCTTAATTACAACCTGGGCTTTCATTAGGAGTGATCCCTAAGCAGCTGGAAAGGAGGGAGGGTTTGGTTCAAACCCTGTTGCTCCGTGCCTTTCCCCGCAGGGTGTTTTTTCAACGCCGTTTCTGCCGGGTCGGTGGCTGCGCGGTCGCTTGACCCGTGTGAGCAAAGTGATCCCGAGCTGCCGAGTGGTGGGAGCTCCGAGCCAGGAATTCCTGGCCCCGGCCCAGTATAGTTTCAGAGGCGAGCTTTTAAATATATACAAAGACAAGCTCATAATTTCCACTCTACTAATGAGGCCACGGCGCTTTCATTGAAATGTGCCAATAGCTGCCGCGGTGGTATTTTAGCAGCCTTGTACTGTGAATCCAAATGTGATTTAACATGGCAGCCCCCACAGAGCAGAGGAAAACTGGCTTCTCCCGCTGAATTTCAATGATGCTGCTTGGCAGCGCTTCCCGAAAATCCCCTTGGTGGTGGGACCTTCCCTTGTGTTTCGTCTCAACGTGGCTTTTCCCCTTGGTGAAGATGGGCAAGGGTAGGAAAGACGTATAATGATGTTTCAGAAAGGTAAAGTCTTTAAGTCAAGACTGGGCTTAAAAGATGTGTGGCTGGTTGGTTGGTGCAAGATTTAATAACCAGGCTGGCAGGAAATATCATTAGATCATAGTAAAAACCTGAACGTGAGGGCTCCCAGACATCATGTTCTCTCTTGACCTTTAAAAAGCCACTTGAAGCCGCCAGCCTGCTCGTTGCTAAGCCCCCTCTTTAGTGCCACTCATATATTTTCCCTTCTAGGAGACGATTCAGTGCCTGGGAATTTGTGGAGATCTAACATTAAACTCTTACACGCCTGAAATTCCCACTGGTGGATTTTTTTATCTTTGTAGCTTTGAAGCTGTTTGGAAAATATTTAGCGGGGTTTGTTCAGTCGGCTGCAAGAAAAAGGTAAATTTTGAGTAACTTCCTCAGAAGCTGTTTGTTTTCCTTTTTGATTTTTAAACATCAGCAGCACACCTGTAAACTGGTGTTTTGCTTATTGAGGGTTCAATTTATGAGGACTCGTGTAAGAAGCATCGTCCTTGGGCAAAGGAGGGGTGGGAGGAGGTGATGCTGAAAATTCACACCTGGCTGCCCATCACCTCCTGGTTACACTCCCCAGGGTGTGGCTGTGCCTGGATTTTGGAATCATGGAATTGTTTGGCTTGGAAGGGACCTTAAAGACTACCCAGTGCCACCCCCTGCCAAGGGACACCTTCCACCAGCCCAGGTTGCTCCAAGGCCCGCCCAACTCGGTCTTGAACACTTCCAGGGATGGGGCAGCCACAGCTTCTCTGGGCACCCTGTGCCAGTGCTTCACTAAGGTCCCTTGACTTTATGCATCCCACTAAGGTCAGGCCACAATTTTGGGAGAACAGGGAAGAAGAACAATATCCCGTGGCATCACCCTCAGTGCTGAGACTCTGACGGAGGAGGAGATGCACGTGTTGCGTTTGTGAGTGTTTTTCTCCAAGCAGCTCACTTGACTGTGCAAGTCGGGCAGTGGAAAAGTTCCGTTTTACACTTCCAGCTAAATTTTGAGGGGTTTGCCATCCTTGCACCCACCTTTCTGGTGCCGCTCCCATGGAACTGAAGCAGTTTGTGTCCTGTGCCTGTGGCTTCCAGGAGGTTTCTTTCAGCTGTCTCGGTCTTTCAGCTGGACTCTATAAAGTGTTGCAAAACCTTCCCATTCTCTGTTAGCACTGTGGAAGGAATGATAAAAAAAAAATACTCCCCTAAATCCCAGTACTTGGATTAAAACCAGGGAAGGATAGGCTGACTGTGCAGCTCATTTTTTGGAAGTATTAGGAAAAATTGCCAATGGCAGTGACGTGGCATTAGTGTGAATTCCCAGCAGGCTGAGGGTTGGGGTGGTTTAGGTTTTCCCAAAGGCTTTTTCAGGCTCTCAGCATTATGAAATACAAAGTGGCTGGATCAGTGTGTTGGGTTTTGGGGAATGGCTGCTCCGTGGGATTTGTTTAGTGACTTTTTCCCGGTATCCAGTCACCAATTTTGTCACTCTCCTGCATCCAGCTCCTTCTTCTCCTTAGTTTTTACCGCAAATATAAACGGGGCAATTAAAAAGGGTCTGTGGAGAGCGTTCCTGAGGACTCAAATCCGGGATCTGGGAGCAGACGGCAGCAGCATAAAGAGGAATTCTTCCCTCTCTGGCCTCATGCTGCTTTTCCACCACAAGGCTTTACAGCCATCTGGATCCCCTTTCAGATTATGCCCTCCCCCTCCCAAAAATCCATAACCTAGCAACCTTATTTAGTGTAAACGAGAGCATTATGCCTTCCTGCTTCCAAATTTGTGCTTGGCTCCTCCGACTGCCTTTATGGGATGGCTGCTGTGATCCCATGGCCAGCACAGGGTGCCGGTCTCCAGCAGGATTTTGTAGGATTATTGAGTCCTGAGTGTTGCACTTATTATTATTATTCTCCATTAAAGGGGCTTAGAAAACAGAGTGGGGGAAAGGGTTTCAGGAAGTTGTTTAGTCCATCTGCTTCTTGATATGAAAGAGTGGAGAGGGCAAGTTGCTCTTTGGCTCCGTGGAAAGCGATTGGCTTTGGTTCAGCCTTGAAGACTTGATCAAAGTGGGACTTTTTTTTTTTTTCTTCCAGATGTGATATTTTGGGAGTCCCTATTGCTTCCCCCCAGCTCTGTGTCATCACCCAGGAATTTTCGAATTCCCTGGAGCGTTTTACACCAATTTCTCTGCTCTGACCCTTCAGCTGCGTAGGCTGAGCGTTTCTCATGGAGTTTCCAGTTTGCTTTCCCCAAGGATCCTTTTAATTGGGGAAAACTGCAAACCAGGAAAAGCAGCCACAAATGAAGGTGGAAGATTATTCCCACCAAGTGAAGCAACAGGGACAAGGGAGCCTGCAAGGTGTGGCCTGAGGCTGCCCACCCCCATGGTGATGTCTGTGCTCTCGTTATTCTGTTTGGGCTAAAACGCACCCAAATTTAATAACATGTGCGATATTAAATTTTTTTTAAGCATGGGATCCCATTACCCTCAGTCCTTACAGGGAACCAGGGGCTGCTGCTTTCTCTTTCACCCTGTGAGCACAAGCAGGGCTTGGGGGCAGGAGGAGCCAGCGGCACATCCTTTCCCACCCCACTTTGGGGAGGAAGAGGGAGCTCAGCAGGTCGTGACATTTTGGAGCTGCGTGCCGGGGAAAAAGGGGGGGAAAAAAGTAATTACAGATCCCCGGGCCAAAGGGGAAAAATTCCTCCAGTGTTATTTCATCTCTGAGCAGCAGGCTGAGCCGTCCTGGGGCAGCCTGTGTGTGCCCTTCCCAACAAGGAGCTGCTGCCTCCGCTTCACACCCTCCTGAGAAGGGACTTCCAGCTCCCATTTCTGATGGGAGCCTGAGCAGGGCTGTCCTCCAAACTCTGCTTCCCCCTCCTCCAGACAGGATTAAAAAGTGCCATTGACTTTTATTTTTTTTCTCTGTTTATTTTTGCCTGTTTTCCCGGAACTTGCAAAATCAGCCCCGAGCAAACCCTCTGGTTTACTTTTCCAGCGGCGCTGGGAGGGAACTTGACTTTACATTGGGTGATGGGGGCTGCAGCTGCCCCATGTCTGCACGTTCCTCTGCCAATGGCAGCAAAAAACAGTTTCCCATTTAAAGGTTCTCTTCAGTCTTAAGGTTCTGGGATTGTTTGTGTGTTAAACTGCCTGGAATCAAAAGCACTTGCTGGAAATTGCAGTGGTACCAGTTGAGCCGCCGGGTGTTTCTTTCCTTAGAAAGACTTCCCTGTTCTTTTCCAGTGGCTGATTGCTTTGGCACATTGTCACATCACTCTGTGTCCCCTGCCCAAAGGCAGTGGAGAGGGTTAAGGTTTTGTGTTTGGTGTCGGCCAGCCAGGGAACGTAGCCAGGAAAGTTCCTGATTCCCGTTCAAAAAAAGCATCGGATCCGCTCTTGGGGAGAAGGAAGGGATCAAAGGTCCGAAGCGCTTCATGGCTAGAGGTCAGTTTGCTTTCTTGGTCGTCCAGGCACACAACAAAAACCCACCAGCACCCCCCAAACCTGCACACGGCCGAAATGGGTGAAACAAACTGGGTTTTGTTCCATTTGACACCCAAAAATCGTTTCTGTTGCCGCTGGTGGTGCTGCATCGCCCTATCTGAGCTTTGCTGGATGTCTGTACGACTCTGCCTGTGATGTGAGGGACGTGTTGGGATGCTCTTCCTTCCCAGCACATTGATCCCACTAATCAGTAATGCTGCCAAGCCCTGTGCCATCGCTCACGCTCCTCCTCCACTCGCTGCCAGGTTTTTGGAATGAAGGATGTGGGTCAGGTTGGATGCGCTGGGTGCAGCACCATCCCCACGGCAGCATCGTAGCTGTATAAAATCACAGCATGCCAAGAGTTTTTGCTTCCCCCCCCCCTTAATCCTGTTGTGCCCTGGTTTGTGACAGCAAAGGCCATGGCTCCTGGCTGGAACACTGAGATTTCCCCTCACTCCATCCCGGGAAAAGGCAGTGTAGCCGTGTGGCACCTCTGGGGCGACAGCGGTGCTAGTTCGGGGCTGGCTCTGCAGCTGCCTGTGATTTTCCCATCGCTGCTGATCCCGGCGCTGGACCAGCTCCAGAGATGGAGCTGAAGGAAATTCCTTCCAGCTGCTTGAGGTCAGGGCTTCGCTTTGCTTTTGGGGTTCGCGAGGGGGATTTTTTTTTTCGCCTGCGAGTTAAACGCGGGTGACTCCGGTCGTTCCTTCTTAACACCTGGAAAAGTCCTTTTCTTTTAAATATTATCCCGTTTCTCATAGCCAATAAGTAACCTTCCTGTTGTGGAATTATTCCATGGAAGAATACCCCGCTTCGCAGCGCAACTTGGGCTGTTTCAGAAAGGTCTTGTCAGCTGCTCCCAGTTTAACTTTCAACCGAGTTAATAACGCTTTTGGTTAAACCTGTCTGAAACACGTTGCGAAACGCCTTTGAAACTCGAGACGCCGTTCACACCCGCTTGAAATCTTTCCCATCGATAAAATGTTTCAACTTGGAGTTTGGCCATGGCTTAGCATTTGCTTTTCCCCGAGATTCGTGATTTCAGACCTGCCTGCGTCTGGCTCTGCTGTGTTTTTAACGCTCAGTGTTTCCTGGAGATGGGTTGGCCTCGCCAGCCTGGCCGATGGGATGCTGCTCAGACCAACAGCTCCATCCAGTTTCCCCAGTTAATGGCTGAGGAGATCCAGTCTGAGTTTGCTTTGAATCCCCGCAGAGGAAGTTGTTTTTCTTGTAAACGTAACTTAAATCCTTCTAAAAATGGGGTTTTATTCACAACAGCAGAGGCAGAAGCCACCCCTCCACCCTGTGCATGGGCTGTATTTAGGTATGATGATGCACAGCACTTGCCTGGCCCCTTTGTGCGCTGACGTTGTAAATAAATAATAATAAAACTTCTAAAAAGAGGACAGGCAGCTCCTTTTAATAAGTAAAACCCCGAGAAGGTGCACACAGTTCAAATCCATGTGGCGAAGCAGCAGGAAAGCAAAAATCTGTGGCTTTCAACCCATGGGTGATGCTCATGGCATCACCTGCTGTGGCATCCCTGGTGTCACCACCCCACCCCCCCCCACTCAGGGATTCTGCCTCGCTCCCCTCCTCCCTGCCTCGGTGTCTCTCCCCGTGAGAAGATAATTGCCTGCCTCATTAATCCCTCTTCGATGTCCGAGGAACGCTCTGGGTGAGAGGTTGGCCCCGCGCATTAAATGCTCGCTCTGGCTCTAATGGGGATTAATTTGGCGACGTGGCTTCTGGAGGTTTGCCTTTAACAGCCCAAGGTGTAATCAAAGGGCAGCGACGCTGGCGAGCTTGGGCTGACCTGTAACACTCCCTTCCTGGCTGCTCGATAGCCCATTAACCACAGCCTGGCTTTTAATTAAAGCCCGGTTTTGTCCTCGTTGAAGGAACTCGGACGTGCTTGGCCCCACGTGGCTGAGTCACTGGAGGGTGGAAGGACGGAGACGTGGAGCTCAGGTTGTTCTGCCTTGTGGCGTTGCCACCTCTGGCTCTCTCATCCCAGCATACTTGTTCCCTGCTCTCTGCATCCCAGCACACTTGTTCCTTGCTATAGAATCACAGAATCATGGAACAGTTTGAGTTGGAGGGGACTGTTAAAGGCTGTCTTGTTTCAACGCCCAGCCATGGGCAGGGACACCCTCCACCATCCCAGGTTGCTCCAAGCCCTGTCCAGCCTGGGCTTGAACACTTCCAGGGATGGGACAGCTTCTCTGGGAAGCCTCTGCCAGTACCCCTTTCCTATGTGCAGCTCATGCTCCCCATTGTGGGGGATGCAGGGACCTCCTTGGGGGCCGTGGGTGCCCCACAAGCATCATCTCCCCGCTCTGAGATTCCTTGGCCATGGAGAGAGCAACAGGGAGGCTTTTGTTCTGCACCAGAAACTTCTCATCCTTCTTTATGCCTCCTTTTTTATTTCTTTTGGCTGCTCTCTCGCAAATCTGAAGCAGATTAAAATACAGTTCCTCCCCACCCCACCCGCCCCCCCCTTAAAAAAACCCAACTCCAAAGCTTGGCTGCTTGGAATCATCAGATTTCACTGGAGTCTTTTAAAGTTAACAGTTTCCTGGATCCTGGGCAGGATAACTTGATTTTCCCCCCTCTAACCTCCGTGTTTTTTGCTGTAACATTTCTCAGCTGTTGCAGCAAGAGGGAGGGAGGACCAGGGCAGCTCCAATGTGGAGAAGGTTATTCCAGATGGGGGTTGGATGAGTCTGGTGTGGGACTCACTGGACTTGCACCGTAGGGGACTGAAGGGTTGTCCTGGGAGGCCAAGCCCGCACGGCATGGCCAGCAGGTAGGTCATGGCTGCATCGGTGATGCCCTTTTGGGACGAAATATTTGGGAAGTGGTTCCATTGGAAGGAGAGAGTAGGATGCTGGGAGCGGGTTGGAGCTCTGTTTCTGCTGAGTGTTTATTTGCCGAGGGCTGTGATGGTTTTGGGGTCTGGTGCAAGAGCGGCACAGCGGCACAGCTACACGCAACCATCAGGAATTTTTTGGGCTTCATGGGATTTGCTGCCCTGAATGCAGCCTGGATCCTCCTCACCCACCGCCTCTGCCATGGAATCTCCTGGTGGAATTGCTGAGCCAAAACCCTGGCTCTGGTCAGAAGAGCATCGCAAGTTAAAGGAGCTGTCAAGGAAAGAAAAATTACAGTCCTGCGCTGGTTGGTTTTGTTGCCTCTTCTCCAAGAGTGGTCTCTCCTTCCTTGCAAAGAAACCATCCAGAGCTTTCCCAGATGGAAGACGTTTCTCCGGGGTGGTTGGTTGGGGAGCTGGTGGCGGCCAACCTTGGCCAACGCCGGTGATCATCAGCACGAGCCCCGGGGCGAGGTGGGGCAGCCAGAGCCTCGTCCCGCAGCCCACACATCCTCGTGCCGCGAGCGTGACCGAAGGGGAGTCCCTGAACCGTCTAAAAACCCCTTTGACCCAGGAAACAGAGCGGGGCCGAGAACCAAACCCAGCCCCGCTCCGTGATGCTGAGCTGCGCATTAACTCCGCCGGAGCCGGGAACAAAGGTTTTGGGGGCTGGTTTGGGCTTTTTTTTTTTTTTTTTTTTTTTTTTTTTTTTTTTTTTTTTTTTTTTTTTTTTTTTTTTTTTTTTTTTTTTTTTTTTTTTTTTTTTTTTTTTTTTTTTTTTTAATTTATTTGCAAAGCAAACCAGCTCAGCTGAGCGGAACAAGCGTCGGTGGAGGAGCGGGAGCTGCCGGGTGGTTGCTGGGCTATAAAATCCCATCCCCACCGGCGCTGGCGGGGGGATGTGCCGGCTCCCCGAGCTCTTGCGGCGTTTCCACGTTGGCCGGGAGAGGTTCTGAACATGCGTGTTGGTCTCCGGAGGCTTTAATCAAATCCAGGCTCTACCAGAAATCGCCTCGAAACTTCCAGCGAGCCGAGGAAACTGAAAGCAGCCGGAGCAAGGAGGCTCTCGGGAGGGTGTTCGGTGCCGGCGGGAATGCTGCCTGTGGTGAGGGGATAGAGCCGGTGGGGCAGCCGGGATGAAAGGTGAGTCTGCTCCCCGGAGCGTATGATGGGAAGACAGAGGAAAGCCCAAAGGGTTCAGCAAAAAAAAAGGGACCTCAAGGGGAAAAAGAGATTCAGGAGCGAGGATGCTGCTTGAAGGGACATTTCAGAGGACACTTTGGGTCCGGAGCGTCGCTCCCCGGCACATTTGGGTTCGTATCCCGTGTTTTCCCCGTTGCCTTCTCGCCCCGTGCAGAACGAGGAGCTGTGCAGTTGCTGCGCTGTCGAAAACTCCCCGCTCCAGGGGAGGGTTTTGTTATCCCTCGGTGATTTTATTTTGGCAAACAGCGTTCAGACTGCAGGTACTTTCCTTGCTTGTTGCCAAACTTCATCGCGCGCCGCGTCCAGCCCTCTCCCGTGGGCAGGAGGGAAAACAAGGTGTATTTTGTAACTTCCTTTCCTGAGCTGGGGGCGGGGGAACTCTTGTGCCCGGCCAGCGACGGTTGGGCTCGTCCGATGGCGAGCGGCTCGGAGAGCGATGGAAAGATAAGGAATAATAAATAAGTGCAATTAAAATCCTGGGGGAGGGAGGAGTGGGGTGGGGTGGGGGATGGTGGTGGAGGTGATACACCGGAGTCGTTATCCCAGGCAGCTGCCCGGGGTTTAACCGGGGCTCTCCGAGGGGAGGGAGGTTCTGGTCACGCGTCCCAGACGTGGGACGTGACCGGCCGAAATCGCCGCGCCTTCCTCCTGCCCGCCGGTGCCTCGGGGTTTTCCTGGGGAAGGGGAGGGGTCGTGCTGGGGAGTTTAGGCTGAGACCTGCAAAAATGCTCTTAAAAACCACCAAACGCGGATCTCACACAGGGAGACAAACAAAGCCTCCTTTACAAGCTCCGCAGTCTCCCTGGGATTTCTCTCTCGGCGGTGCTGCTGTATGGCCTGGCAATGTCCCTGTCCTCTCCCTTCTGCTGGAGATGCACTGGATGCTGGGCCCTCAGTGGGTTTGGAGGGGGGATTCTAAGGAATGATGAATCAGTCTCGGAAACTGCTGGAGGGGAAAGGAAGGAAATACCGCCTTGCTCCAGGGCTTTCTGGCTGCTTTCAGTGCTTTTACCCAGTTACTGAGGGGCTTGAGGGACACTAGGGCTGCTTGGATGCAATTCCCAGCCATCCATCTGATGCAGCGTTTAACTGGAAGGGTGACGTGTGTAAGGAAAATAGCCGGAGGAGAAGCTCTCAGCGGGAGAGGGAAAATCCCGGCCCTGGCTGATCCAGCCCTGCTTTGCTTTCAGGTTTACCAAGCTGGGGACTCAGTTTTGGGAGGAGTGAGAAGTCATCTCCTTCCCCCTCCACCTCCCCTTAGAGGGACTGCTGGTCTCCAGAGTGCATCCTGAAAGAGCCTCACATCCACGTGTTTTTCTCCCTGTCTCCACAGCCTACCCATGAGCTCGGACTTCCAGCATTACAGTTTCAGGATGCCGAACATCGGGTTCCAGAACCTTCCTCTCAACATATACATCGTGGTTTTCGGCACGGCCATCTTCGTCTTCATCCTCAGTCTGCTCTTCTGTTGCTACTTGATCCGGTAAGGGGAGGTTGTAAGGGAGTGTCCCCCCTGGTTCTGAGCCTGCCACTGATCCCTCTCCGTCCCAAAAAGAGGGTGGCACCATCTTTATCTCTCCACAAACCTGACAAGGCAGCCAGATTATCCACTTAAAAAACCAGGGGATACACGTCTGCTCAAACAGGCATGGAATCAAAAGGCCTGGGAAGGGATGTTTTACGGTCCCTGCTCTCTGCTTAATGTTTCAACACGTTCGCCTCTGTAATGAGTAACTCGTGTCCCGCGTGCTTAAGGAATGTTTAATACCTGCTCCGTTGGTTATTGGACACAAATTGCTCCTTCAACAGCGCAGTTTGGGGATTAATGATGCAGAGTTGATGTGTTAATCTGAGCGATGGGGAGCGGGACAGGAGGGCCAAAGGTTGTTCCAGTTTGGGGCTTATTTTAATTGTTTTATGGGCCACTGGGGAGATCGTTGGGCTGCTAACTGAGAGGAGACACGAGAGCCAAGTGGGGAAAAGTGCAGTGCCTGGGAGTTGAGGTGGTGATGGGGGCGAGGCGAGCTGAGAACCCGGGATGGTGGGGCTGGCTGCACCTCTCCCTGTGGCTGGGAGCAGAGGGCACCACTGCCAGCAGTGGCAGCCAAAATCCTGTGTGCCCACAGCTCTCCTCTCCAGCTTTTCCATCTCCCTTCCCACCCCTCTGGCTTTTCAGCTGGCCCCAGCTCCCTGCTTGTCACACATCCATTGCATCCCCTCCCTCTGTCCCAACAAGACAGATTCCCAGTCTCTCCTTGCACCACGGAGCCTGCTCACAGCAGCCATTCCCGCCAGGTTTTCTATCCAGAGGGTGCTAAAAACATTTTGCCCCGCTTTTGTAGACCTGGGAAGCGAGATTTCCATGTCACCTTCTAAATACTTGATAATTTGCACCCATTTCCAGCTCTGTACGAAGCAAAACCTGATAAAACATGCAGATGAGCCCCAAGCCAGGTTTACCCAGGGGTGATTCGGGCTTCATGGGCATCATATCTTAATTTTTTCCCCCACAATTATGCACAAGAAAAGGATGTTTTAAGGTGCAGCACATCTGTCCATCCTGGTAGACAAGGTGCTCGATGTTAACAAGGTCTGTGCTGGGTTTTGCATCCAGTGCTTGCATTTTAACCGGGGCACCAGTTGGAGGGGATGCAAAATAAATAAATAAAAAAAAAAAAAAACACCAGACCAAAGGTGTTCAGGGGGCTCAGGGACGTGTTTTGCTCAGGTTAGAGCTTGAATCCATACGGCTCGCTCGGAAAATGAAGCGGCGTTCTGGGCTCTGAGAGAGTATTTTTCCTGAGCACCAGGTCTCGCTGGGTGTGTTCTGCCCCAAAGAAGGAATAACAAGGAGTAATGTCTGGAAGGTCAAGCCAGAAAATCTTTAAATTTAGAAGTTGGAGGCGTGTTGTAAGAGAGAGAGGGTGAGTAACCGGTGGAAGGAGCCAGCAAGGAAGTGGCAAGTCCTGCGTCTCTTCACATCTTTAAATCAAGACCGAGGACCTTTCTGGACGAGACGTTTTGGCTCCTGTTCCTGAGGTGCTATTTAGCGACCCATGATAGATGGGAGGCCGGATTAGATCATCCAGCGATCCCTTTATAGCCTGAAACTCTATAAGAGACTCTACAAATGGCTCTTCAGACCTCCTCCCTCAGCTCTCCTATTGGCAAAACAGAACCAAAAACAGGATCCTGCAGCCCCTGTTTTGGAGGGTTGTGCCGTGCCGGGGTTTTTAGCTGTGCCAGTGTCCCAGGAGCGTCCACCTCCACGGAAGCTGCTGTGTAATCACAGCTTGTGGGGGGATAAAAAACGAGCTGTGGTGGGGTTTGGGGAGCCTCGTAGGTGGAGAGCAGCAGGATGAGGGCCACCCACCTGCAAGGGCAGAGAGACCAACCCAGGCAGAGGGCCAGGATGGTCCCCTCAGGAGCTCCAGGGCTCCACTTGTATCCAGAGGGGTTATTTGCAGGTAACAGCACCCCCGTAGGTGCAGAGTCAACACAGCCCATCCCCTCCCTCTCCCTCCTTTCCCTCCTTTTCCTCCTTTCCACATCTGCAAATATTTGGCAAATACCAAGTGAGGCTCGAGACGCCACCGTGGTTCTCATGGCCTGCTGTGGATCAGAGCATCCCGTGCAGCTCTCCTCTGCATCCATGGAAAAGCCAGTGTCTGGTGTATTCACCCCAAATCCAGAGCTGAGGCCTTAAATAGAGGATGTGCCAGGGGAGGAGAGAACACGGGCTGTGCTTCACAGCTGTGTCAGTACAGAACACGCTGCCAGCTCCAAAGGGAGGAAAAGTGGCATTTTTAATTAATTGGATTGGCTCAAAAAAGGGCCCGAGAGGGATTTCAGCACAAAACCCAGCAAAGATCATCGTTACCTGTGCACTGTCCTGGTGAATCTCGAGCTCTTCTGCTGCTGCAAACCACTCAGGTCAAACTCGGGTCCCTCAGAGGCTGGCTGCCTCTGCTTGGAAAAAACAGAGATAAAAAAGGGAAGAACAAGGAAATTGCATTTTGCAGGTGGCTGGTTGTGTCTGATCTCTGCTGAATTAATGAAAGTGATAAAATCGTGTTGCCTTCGGTCCCATAAAACCCAGTCCAGAAGGATACTGAGCCGAGCAGTGCCACACTCACCCTGGGTGAAGACTGCAGCATCCTCTCTCCATGCTTTCTGCAGGATCAGCCCAGGCCAGGGCAGCTCGAAGTCTCCAGGAGGTGCAGGGAATGCAGCCCCTAAAAAGCTTGTTTTTTATGGGGCTGTTTCCTTCTGCATTGAGACCTGCCAGGATCCAACACTGCTGTTGGGTTTTGTGTCTAGGGAAGGGAGCTGAGGAAGGGGCTGGAGCAGCAGGAGCGGCTGAGGGAGCTGGGGGGGCTCAGCCTGGAGAAAAGGAGGCTCAGGGGGGACCTTCTGGCTCTGCAATCCCTGACAGGAGGGGGGAGCCGGGGGGGGTCGGGCTCTGCTCCCAGAGAACAGGGACAGGAGGAGAGGGAACGGCCTCCAGCTGTGCCAGGGGAGGTTTGGGTTGGATATTGGGAAAATTCCTTCCTGGAAAGGACTGTCCATTCCTGGCACAGCTGCCCAGGGCAGCGGTGGAGTCCCCATCCCTGGAGGGATTTAAAAGCGGGAAGACATCCCGAAGCCCGGGAGAGGCGGATATTAAGTTCGGAGCTGAGTGACAGCGCACACGCTCCGCAGCCACGAGCTGTGTGGTCCCTTATCTCGGGCAGACATCTGCCAGGAATTCCTGTGGAGTCACAGCGCTTGACACGAGATGGATGGAGCCCTGGGCCTGCCAGGATCCGGGGTCTCCTTACGACAGCTGCACCGGGCCCGACCAGCATCCATCTGGCTCTGGATCCTGGCTTTGAAAGGGAAGTGCGGAGGAGCAGGCAGAGCTCGCACGCTCCGGCACCAGATGGGCTCGTGCTGCTCCCCATAACCTCCAGGGAGGGATATTTTGGGAAAAATTCCCTGCCTAGCTCAGCACCAGCCCGTGGCATCGCAGCACCTGTGCTCGCAGCGCGGGGCTGCACAGATCCGGGGCCAGGTGGCTCCTTCTTCCCCACTGCTGGTCCAGACACTCCGGTGGCTTCGGCTCACCGAATCCTCGGTGGCCAAGGACCCGTCAGACGGATGTTTCTTCCCGTTCCGGGAGAGTTCTCCCGCTGTATGTGGTCTCCAGCCGCACGCCGGGCCTCTCTCCATCTGTGTTTCATAACCGCTTTCCCAGCCACCGGATCCCTGCGGATTGGGCCGGTTTCATCCTGTTTGCTCTATTGTTCCTGCATCTTCTGCTCATGTTTCTGCTCGGGGTCACTGGCAGAGGGATGCGACCCCAGCCTCCTCCTCCTCCTCCTCCTCTTGCCTGCTGCAGTGTTTTCCATGATTCTGAAGGAAGGTTCCTGCCAGGCAGCACTGTTGGAGCAGGAGGAATGGCTCCCCATAATATTTGGGACTCAGGAGCCAGTTTTCTGCATCTCTCTCTGCAGCATTAAGGTGTGTTTTCGCCCATTCCTCAGCTTTTAAGGCCCACATTTTGAAGGGGAGGGGGGAATCTGAGCATAAGGATGCATTTTTCCATCCTGTTTTTATAACTCCCCCACTGCAGCGCAGCAGGATTGGAAAACCCCCATGAGCTCAGCCAGGGGTTTGAGACAGCCCCCAGAATAATATTTTCAGAGAAATTAAATTCCAGACAAGGGGGTTTCCCCCTGAATTCACACACAGGGCTGGCTGGGGAAAATACTCCTACAGCTCTCCAAGCCCTGCAGCCACACACTGACTCCTTATGGAAAGTCCTTGGCCAGCTCTTTAGCTTAGATGTCTTCCCTCCTGAGCTTTCAGAGCACTTCACTAAGAGCCAGGTCTGGTAATGAGAGGCAATATTAGTTATTTTTTATTTTAAATGTATTTATTTTAGGATCATAATGGGCTTCTCCAGCCAGTGGATGCCTGTGGAGCGCTCCCCTGGGCTGTGGAAAACAGGCTGCTCTTGCTTCTGGCTCTGGAGAGGGAGGGGATGGAACCACACCAGCCATTCCTGCTGCCACCAGCTGGACTTCCCACTGCAGCAGGTGTCCTTGGAATAGGCTCATCCCATTCATCTCCACCCCTTGATTTGCTCCAGGAGTGGATGTTGTTCACTTGATCATAGAATTGAAAGTAGCGCTGAGTTTGAGGAACCCAACGTTGCCCAAGCAGCAGGATGGTGGGAAACCCTGGGGCAGGGAGGTCTCCTTCCCCATCCTTGCTGGAGTGGGAGTGGAGCTTTCCTCAGCTCTGAGTCCCCATCATTTGGAAAACAGTGCTCTGTCCAGTCTAGGAATTGCTGGCAGCAGAAGTGGTTGTAAACTCGGGGGTAATTTGTGACAGCTTGTGATTTACTCATCAGCTTTTACTAATCCTAACGGTGTGGGTGATGTCTGCCTGTCCTCAAAAGAGGAACAGGGGAACAGCTGTGTGCTTTGGGATGGAGACATTCCCTTCCCAGCCACAGGGAAAGCTGAATGTTTCTTAAACACGTTGTTTCATGTGGCCATTCTCAGTTCTGAAAGGAAAAATTAATTAAAAAAGATGTATTAGATCTGGAAAGGAGGGAAGGGAAACGTTTGAGGTGTTACAGTAATCCTGTTTTCTTTGCCTGCCTTCATGTTTCTCCCTGATTTCTTTGCAGGCTCAGGCACCAGGCACACAAAGAGCTTTACGCCTACAAACAGGTGAGATGACCCTCGGGAAGTTTTCCTCTCCTCCCCTTCATGCCTAGTGCCAAATTCACATTGGAGCAGCCACTCCATCGGGTTTCCTTGTGCTGATCCTCTCCTTGGGAGGTTTTTGGCCCTGGAAGAGCAGTTGTACCAATCTCTGTCCCTGGTGATTTAATTGTTCCCTACCAGCTGGGCCCCTCAGGACCATCCCTCGCCTGCTCATCTGCAGGTCTCCAGGTTCTCTGCCAAGCAACAGGAACATCCCCAGCCACCAAACCGTGCTTTGTGGGGTCTGAATCTGCTCCCAAACCCACAGGACCCTCCCAGGGAACAGTTCCATGTCCCCTTGGCAATCCCAGCTCTTCCCTGCACACACCCACACTCCCCAGTTAAAATAAACAGGGCTCAGAGGTGGGTGTCAAGTTGCTGCTTCCACGTCCTGTGTTGTCCAGGGTTTATGGGATTTTTCTGCCTCTGATCCGTTGTTCAAGCAGGAAGCTGGGTGGGGTCAGGGCGATAACAAACCGTTGTCCTGGATTTATGGCCCTCTCCAGGTGTTCAGCCTGGATAGAGTGAGAATGAAGCAACAGGTATATCCATGAGGGGCACGTGGCAGAGCGTGGGAGCCCAGAGGAGGGTTAAATTTGGGAAGACGCCTCCTGGATTTGGTCCTTGTGTTCGTGGTTATGTCTGTGCCAGCACTGCCTTCTTCCTGTCCCTGCTCAGGGGTGAAGGCCCCACACACTCCCTGGCTGTGCCAGGTTTACTGGGGGGGGTTCCCAGTTCTGCTGGGACACTCAGCTGCGTCTCTTTGTGGAGGTTTTTCCTGGGAATGCTCACAGCAGCAGTTCTGTCCTGACCCCAGCACTTTGTCTTGCAGGTTATACTCAAGGAGAAGGTGAAGGAGCTGAACCTCCACGAGGTGAGCACATCCTGGGCCGCAAAGGCTCCCTCACCCTCCTCTTCCTCACACTGGGGAGGGGGCAAATCCTCAAATTTAACTTCCTTGGGAGCAGAGCACACAGCCAGGTGTGCTTTGGAAAGGGGGAAGGCACCTCTGCAAAGGCCTGGATTAAACCATCTCCCTCCTCTTGGCTCCCCTCGAGCATTTGCCGCCCCGTTATTATTATTATTTATTGCCTTATTATTACGGCAGCGATAAGGAGCTGTGGATAAGGGGAGGCCAAGGAAAGCTGGGCCTTGGATAAACAGTGTCCCTGGGCGGGGACGTCCCCTCCGGAGCTTGACGATATCCAGCGCAGCTCTGGGCAGGGAAAACTGGAGTCCCGGATAAACACCCTCGCCCAGCCCCCGGGAGAGGCAGATCCACCTCTCCCCCCACCTGCCCCGTGAGGTCTGAAACACCTCCCTTGTTCTCCATGAGCTTCCAGGCCTTTGGGGGCCGAGTGTCCCTATTTACAGCCCGTTCTTCCCGCTGGAGTTGAGCTGGAATGTGCTCGAATCCCGCACGAAACACGGGCTGGGTTTATTTATTCCCCCCAAAGACAGCAGAAATGCCCACCCACGTCCCCGGGCACGAGGCCACTCATCCGCTCAGTGCCAGCCCCAGTTGTTTGTAAGCCACTATTTATTTTATTTTAATTCCCTGGGCAGAGCCCATCCCACGTTGTATCCTCACCCTCCGCTCCCCGCAGCCAGGGGGTAAATCCCAAGGGCCCTGGGGTTCCGAGCAGTCCCCGCTGGAGGCTCCTATTTCGGATCCTCTCCCTGCAGTCGACCTGCAGTGGGTTTTGTTGGTTTTTTTTTTGTCGGCACAGGGACTTCAAAGCACTTCCCGGGGTGAGAAACGGGTTGTAGGAGGGGTTTGGGAATGTGCCAGAGTCGGGAACGGCGGCGGTCCCGCTCCGTCCCTCCTCCACCTCTGCTCCCAGCTCTCCGCAGCTCTCCCAGCTTTTGGGGAGGACGAGGGAACGGGATAGAGCAGCTCAGCCTCTTCCCTGGGGTTTGGGAAAGGATGCAAGGCTTTTGCTCCAAAATATCCCTTTTTGGGCATTTGGATCCTGGCATTTACAAGAAAGTGTTTCTGGAGAGCAGAGCCACGGGGTGGGAATTTTCCAACATGATGGGGCGGCTGCCCGGAGCCCTGGGGAGGGGAAAGCGCCCGCCCAGCCCTTCCCCCTGTCCCTGGGTTTGGTTTTCCCCTTTTTCTGTCCTTCTGCCTCTCCCAGGCCCCGGGGGAGCTCGGGATGTGTGTGTTCCTTGGGGGATGGTCCCGGCAGCTGCGCCTGCCCCTTGTTGTGGACTGACAGAGATCCCGGACCGAGGGGGCTGGGAAAACCAGCCAGGAATACCCCAAATCACCAGGAATATCCACAATGAGTCAGGACTAAGCGGGGAAGGAGTCTTTGGCTGAGTCTTTTGCCTGCTGGGAAAACAGCCACCAGCTTTCCCAGCCCTGGGATAGATGCACCTTCTACCTTTTCCTGTTCCTGGAGTTATCCCTGTGGATGCAGCTCAGACCCAGGGACAGCAGCAGTGTGGATCCATCCCCCTGCACCCTAAAAGCTCCTGACACATCAAACACATCCCAGCTTCCTGGCTGTTGCTCTGGGAAGGCTCCGGGGTCCCTTCGGCTGGGAAAAGGAGAGCCAAGGCCCAAGGCTCAGGCAGGGCAGTGAAATTTGGGAAGGTTTTAGGGAGGATTTCACCCTGCTGATGTTGCTTCCCGACCACTGACCTTCCCTCTGCATCCCAACCCTTCCAGATCTGTGCCGTGTGCCTGGAGGAGTTCAAGCCCAAGGACGAGCTGGGGATCTGTCCCTGCAAACATGCCTTCCACAGGAAGTAAGTGTGGGCACTGGGATTGGGGGGGGGGATCCCGGCCTGGGGCCTCCTGGTGCTGCTGCTGCTCCTCCCCGGGGGCTCTTCCCACCCCCATTCCAGGGGCAGGAATTTCAGCCCTTTATTGAATGGATTAGAGCACGTGGAGCAGCGAAAATCCGATCAAAAGCTGGCAAAAGTGCTTCACATATATATATTTTTTATATATATATGTATATATAGAGAGAGATATACACACTTGACATGTTCCAAGCTCTTCATATCCCTTGGGTGTGTGTATTTACATCGATAAAATTTATATAAATTTATAAAATAGATCCCCAGGGATCTGCAGGGACCATTTGGGCACTGTTCCAAGCTCTGGGGGTCACCTTGTAGGTTGCCCTTGTGCCCTTGTTGGCCTTGGCGGTCCTCATGGATCCCTTCCAACTCAGCCTGTAATTCCATGAAAAATGTAAATAGATATATTTTATATGTGTGTGGTTTATATAAAGCAAAATCATTGCATTATATATAGTATATGTAATATGCTAAATATAATATATACTATATGTTTATATATATATAATATAGATATATATAATAATTTTATATACTACATTTTTATATTTATACATGTGTTTTATGTTATTTTTATTCATCTTTTATATTATTATGCATATCTTATATGTTTTGTATATTTCTATATGTATATGTTATATATTATATAATTATATATATAATAAAATATATAACATATGCAATAGTATTATAGTATATATAATTACTTACATATTTTATATTTTCATTAATTTATCTATACATTGTATATGTATATGTATTATATACATAACTTATGTATAATTTCCATGTATATTTATATAGACATCTTTAGTGTATATATTTTATTTTTCATACGTGTTTAAGTTTTTATATCTATTTTATAAACATAAATATAAACTTTATATATATTTGTATATATATATAAAACCTATCTACACAAAATCCGTGCATTTACACACGCACATGCAAAAAAACTCCAATAAAATATAAAGACACCCAAAAATAAATTAAATTAATTAGTTAAATAAAATAAATTAAATTAAATGAATTAAAAGTTGGGGGCAGCAGCAAAGCTCCAGAGGGAGGGGTCAGTGGGTTTCAGGGGGGGTTTTTTGCAGCCCCCCATTAATGCCCGGTGTGTCCCCACTATTCCAGGTGTGTCCCCCCCTATTCCCGGTGTCCCCACTAACGCCGGTGTCCCCCATGTCCCGCAGGTGCCTCATCAAGTGGCTGGAGGTGCGGAAGGTGTGCCCGCTGTGTAACATGCCGGTGCTGCAGCTGGCACAGCTCCACGGGAAGCCGGACCCCGGCCCCCCGCAGGGCCCCCTGCCCGGGGCCCAGAACATCGTATAGTGCCCGCCGGGGCCGGGCCGGGGCCGGGGCCACTCCCGCCCGCGCCGCTCGGACACAGCCAAAGCGCCGGGGACGCAGCCGGGGAGCCCCGAATCCCCACGGATGAAGGGCCTGCCGCTCGAGCCCGGGCTCGGTTCCTCTGCCGGGGCCAGGAGTGGGGGCTCGGGATCCTCAGCACCACATCCTTCTTCCAGCACATCCCTTCTCCGGGAAGCAGCGCGGTGGCACCTGGAACGCCCCCCCCCCAAGCCCCCGGTGCCTCCCGCGCCCACCCACGGCGCCCCAAACGCAGCGGGGACCCTCGAGCACCACGGCCGGTTCCTGCTCCCTCCTCTTCGCCTTTGGTTCCTTTGCCTTTGCCATTCCCACCAGGAAATGGAGCCTGGCCCCGGGATCGTGCTGTGGTTGGGTGCCCCCTGGGCGCCGGCAGCGGGTGGGGCTGTGTGGGGTCTCCTGGGTTTGGACTCCCCACCCACCCTGCCCTGCCTGGGGGTGGTTGTCCCCCTCCTTGGCTACCTCAGGAGTCCCTGGAATGGGCACCATCCTGGTGTCACCCATCAGCATTGAGAGCCATGGCGTGGAGGGGGCAGGCAACAATCCTGGCTTTTGGGATCATCCCATCGCTTCCAGCCTGGCCCTGGGGGTGTCTGGGCAGCCCCCCGAACCCACCATCAGCGTGGGGGGGAGCTGGGCCACCCCCTCTCCTCTCCAGCCACAGATCTGGGTGTCCCCAGCCATCCTCACAACTCGTATTCCCTGGATTTTGGGTAGGGGGGGCGTCAGTATTACACGGCAGTGGCTTTCCCGGGTGCAGGGCTGGGGGAGCGCCGGGTGCCGTCCCCCCATCCCCTAAATTCCTCCCAGGACTGTTTATGGAGCGTGGAGCCTCATAGACGTGTTTGTACACTACGGATTCTGCAGCAGAATATTTTTTAAAACATTCGCTGTTTTGGTTTTTGGTTTTGTTTTTGTTTTTTTTTTTTTCCTCTTGTTTGTTCGGTTTTTTTGTAAGCTCTATTTTTGTATATTTAATTGCTATTTGGAAATTCTAATAATGCGTCTTTTTTGCTAATCACACTCTTCTTAAGGAAAGGAAACAAAAAGAAAAAAAAAACCAAAAAAAAAACCAAAAAAAAAAAAAAACCAAGAGTTCGCATGTGATTTGACTTGAAATGTAAATAAAAGCAGGTTTTGGAAGCGGGGGTGTGTTTGAGGGGGTCTTTCCCCCCCCATCCCTCATTCCTGTGTCTCCACAGGGATGTCTCCAAAGGGAGCAGGACCCCAGAGGAGCTGGAAGAAGGGCTGGTTTGGGGTTGGGGATCCTGCTGTCCATATCTCCCTGTCCCAGCATGTCCCTATCCTGGTGCAGATCATCCCTCCCTCTCCTGCCGATGGGGACACCACTCCTTGAGGGCAGGTTGGCTGTTGGCCATCCCAAAATCCCCAGCCGAGGGGGATTTGGAGGGTTCCAGGCACAGCCTGGGCTTCCCTTCTTAGGAAGATATTCCTCCTTCAACCAACCTTCCCAGCCCAAATCCCGGCCCAACGCCCTAAGGCCAAGCTCCCGTAGGATTTGGGAGTCCAGCTCCCAGTCTCTGTGCTACGGGATCTCCTGGGGTGCAGCTCAGAACCGTCTCCTGCTCACCCTATTCCATCCCTGCTCTTCCCCCGTGTCCTGTCCCTGTTCCCCCACCCTGCCGGGCGCGCGGGGCTGCTGCCCTCTAGTGCCGGCACCGCATCCCACCTGGAGATCAGTCACGGCACGGGATGGGTTGGAAAGGACCGTAAATCCCTTCCAGTTCCACCCCCTGCCACGGGCAGGGACACCTTCCACCAGCCCAGGTTGCTCCAACCTGGCCTTGGGACACTTCCAGGGATCCAGGGGCAGCCACAGCTTCTCTGGACAACCTGGGCCAGGGCCTCCCCACCCTCACAGGGAAGAATTTCTCCCTAAAAATCCTCTCTAAATCTACCCTTCTTCAACTTAAAGCCTTTCCTCCACTGTTCTCCTACACCTCCTCCAAAAGAATCCACAGGGACTGGCTGCCCTCACAGCCATTTTGGGATGATGATCGTGCTGGATAGTTCCTGCTGCCGGGACAAAGTCTGGATCTCACACCAAGCTGCACGAAACACAGTTATTTTTGGTGCTTCCACCCCACAGCTCCTGCTCTGGCTCGACGCTGCGGCTCCACCTCCAATCCCATCCGTATCATTCCTACATCAAAGGCCAAAGGGCTCCCAAAGCAACAGTCAGCAAATATTTAATCAAAGCCAAAAATGCTCCAATTCGCCCCGGAATAATGCTCTTTAATTTATTTTTCCCCCTCTCCTTTAACGTGCTCTGAAATGCAGCTGATTCCCAGAGCCTGGAACACGCAGGGCAGGAAGAACGATCAAGGACTGCCAACGATTATTTTCAATCAGGCTCTAAAATCCAACCAGTCGACCCCAATTCCCCCCAGCACATTCCCGCTCGCTCCCACCACCGTCCGTCCTGCTCCACTGGAGCTCCAAGAAGGAGACAAGCAGCAAACAAGGGTTTCAAGCATGTAAAAAATAACTGTGATGTTTTATTACAAGAAGAGAAAAACAAGCACTTTACAAAAAAAAAAAAAAAAAAAAAAAAAAAAAAAAAAAAAAAAAAAAAAAAAAAAAAAAAAAAAAAAAAAAGGACGATAAGGACGATGACTGCGCCAGGGACTTTGGTGCTGGGATCAAATCGTGCTGGATCTACTCCAAATCCGGAGAAAAAGGAGTTACATGAACACAGGAGAAGCCACGGGATGCTGTGCCCAGGGACAGCAGTGCCTCGGGGCAGGGGCTGTGGTGGGTCAGGCTGTGGGATTCCTGCTGGGAATTCCTGCAGAGGTTTCCCAGCTCTCCACAGCCCAGGTGGTTCAGCTCCCGCTTTAACAAAGCCCAGCCTTTTCCCTGTGTATCCCAAGGATTCACATTCCTTCCCTGCACCCGCGGGATCAGCCTCACCCCCAGCCCAGCTGTTACACCAGGGGGCCACACAGGTCCTGGGCACATGGACATTCCAAAAAGCCAAAGTTTTCCATGAGTTTTGGCCGTGAGGGCAGGGGAAGTGGCAGCTGGGGGTGCGTGTGTGAGTGGGTCTGTGTGTGGGGGTGTGGTACATTTTGTGTGGCACATTTTGTGTGGTAACAGAAAGAGCCGGGTCTGGACACCCTTCAGGCAGCCCCCGGGAAGCTCCTTTTTAATGCACCGAATTTGGGCACCTTTTGTGTGACTCTGTGAGAAATGAATAAATGAGAGACCGAACAACTCTCCCAGAGAAGCTGTGGCTGCCCCTGGATCCCTGGAAGGGTCCAAGGCCAGGTTGGATGAGGTTTGGAGCAACCTGGGATAGTGGGAGGTGTTCCTGCCTGTGGCAGGGAGTTGAATTGGATGATCTTTAAGGTCCCTTCCAACCCCAACCATCCCATTCCCTGCATGATCCTACTCCCATTCCTCACCTCTGAAGCACCACATGATGGAACACAGAGCAGGACACAAGCAAAACTCGTTACTCTGCAGGAAAAGCACATTTTCTTCCCCACCCAGCACAGATCACCTTCCTCGTGAGCTCTGTGCTCCTTTCCCCATATTTTACTGTTGTCAAATCCCTGACCGTGTCCCAGATTCCAGCCCAGGCTCAGCTGAGGTTTGGGAGCCGCTCCACTCCATGTCCATGGCCTGGCCTTACCCAGCAGAGCTGACAGAGGCACCACACTGATCTAACCAGCAAAGCAAAGACCTCCTCAATCCAGAGTTTCTTCCCTTTCCAGAGGGAAGCACCACACGAGGATCCCATCAGGTGAATACTCGGATCTCAGGATGCAGCAATGGGCAGAGCTGGATGGGATTTACAAGCTCCCAGCCCTTCCACCCAGGATCACGAGGGGTGTGGGGATCAGAGGGGCTGGAATTCAGCTTCTCTGGAAAGAAACCAGGATCTTAAGGAGTGTGTTGGAGCCAGGGTGACGGTCATTCTGATATCCTGGGATAAAGCCTGACAGGTGTGACCTGATGTGAAGGATCTGAACAGCTTCCCCTGCTCAGGGAAGGGCGGCTGCTCCATGGAGCTGCTCCCTGGGAAGCCCAGAGCAGCTCCAAAGCCGCATCTCCGGGAGCTCCCATCCCGAGGGAAGGTGCAGATACCTCGTTGCTTTGAGAGAGCATTTATTGAGCGTGCAGGATCCATCCCAACCCCCATCCCAAGGGTGCAGCTTCCACAGGGGATCCGCCCCGCTCGCAGGCTGTGTGGGAGCAGGCACGGGGAGAACTGGGAGCACAGCATGCATGTGGGAAGGGGAGGATTCCCCAAAAACACCAGGAGTGCAGCCATGAATAAATGCAACATGAAACATGACAGAGATCTGAGTGTGACTGAAGGAAGTGTCTCTTTGGTGGAGTTCTGTGCAGCCAAGTTGGATAATGGAGAGAAAACCCCGAACAAACAACCAGCAAATCCCACTATTTCATCCTCAAATTTGCTTTCAGGTCTCAAGGTTGGAGGCTGACAGACAGACACCCCTAACACTATCCCAAAGGGGCTGTGTAGGAGTGCTGGAGGCTGAAACGGGAATCCCCCCCCAGCCACAGATCCGTGCTGTGCCGTACCTTCCATCCCCAGGACAGAGATAAGGACGTGTGGAACAGGAACAAAGCCTGGCTGCCAGCCCAGGGTGTCCCACAGGCCACCACGGATCAAGTACTCTGTGAGGATGCTCTTCCCTCTTCCCAGCCCATTCCCATGGGTGGAGAACGCGGCAGCTTTGATTGTGAGCACAGAACTGTGACCCGGGCGCTCCGAGGGATCCCGGTGGGAGGAGCGGAGTGCCCGTCCCCTGTTTTGTCACCATCATTAAACATGGAAGAACCTACCTAAAAAGGGCAATTTCACGTGGCTGAAACGCCCCACAGACCTTCCCACACCCCGCCACGTCCAGTCAGTGTGTTCCACGCACGTCCTCTGGAACAAACCTGCGCTGGGATCCCAGATGGATTTCAGCTGGTACAGACAAACACCCAGCCCCGGGCTGGCCCCACAGGGCACCCCAGGGAACAGGCTGAGCAGGTGAAACGTGGGCTCAGTGACCTCCAAACCAGTGGCCCAGGGAGTGCCCCAAATCTGTAGGTCCAACACAGAGTGTGCAGGAGGGGGTCAGGCGGAGTCCAGGAGTTCCAGGAGAGCACCGACGGCGCCGAAGTAACCCTGAGGAACAACGGGAATATCCACTGAGAACGGGGACGTGGGCACTCACCTGGCACAGCAGTCACAGCCAGGGCATCGTGGGATGGTTTGGGTTGGAAGGGACTTCAAAGATCAAACAGCTCCAACCCCCTGCCATGGGCAGGGACACCTCCCACTAGCCCAGGTTGCTCCAAGCCCCATCCAGCCTGGTCTTGGACACTTCCAGGGATCCAGGGGCAGCCACAGCTCAACGAGGCAACCTGTGCCAGGCCCTCTCCACGGGGCTGCCTCCAGAGAGCCCCGAGGGTTTGCATTTTGCCACGAGAGAAAAAGAGATTTTAAAAAGGAATTTCACCTCATGTTCCAAGAAAAGTGCTTTTAACTGTCCCTTCGACCAGTAGTCCAGGGCATACGCCAGGAGCCTCATGGAGATGGTGTTGATCCGAAGGAAGTTGCCCACGAACACCACGCGGTTGATGTTCTGCAAGTGATTAGGGGGAAAAAAAAAGAGTATTAAAGCTAAATTCCTTTTTCTGCTTGTAGTGATGAAAACCCCATGTGGGGAAGGGGCTGGAGCAGCAGGAGGGGCTGAGGGAGGCTGGGGGGGCTCAGCCTGGAGAAAAGGAGGCTCAGGGGGGACCTTCTGGCTCTGCAATCCCTGACAGGAGGGGGGAGCCGGGGGGGGTCGGGCTCTGCTCCCAGGGAACAGGGACAGGAGGAGAGGGAACGGCCTCCAGCTGTGCCAGGGGAGGGGCAGGTTGGCCATCAGGAGGAATTTCTCCCTGGAAAGGTTGGTCAGGCATTGGGAACAGCCTGCCCATGGCAGTGGTGGAGTCCCCATCCCTGGAGGGATTTAAAATCCCTGTGGATGTGGCACTTGGGGACATGGGTCAGTGGTGGCCTTGGCAGTGCTGGGGGAATGGTTGGGCTGGATGGCCTCAGAGGGCTCTTCCAACCTTAATGACTCTGTGATTCCATGAACTGTCTGCTGAAAGTGTTGTTCAGGTCTGCAGAACATTAAAAACACCCACAATTCTCTCAGAAAGCAAGGCCAGGTCACTTTAATCAGGCTCTTCTTCACTGCCCAGAAATCCCCAGGCTGAACCACAACCTTCCCAGCTCAGGAATCTGAATGGAGTAGTTGATTTTGCTATGAAATCCTTATACTGACTGGGAACAATGACCATCAAGTGCCATCTCCCCTCTCTCCCCTGAACTCCAGCCTTTGACTCATCATTAAATAGCTGAGTGACTCTCTACTGTTAAACTGAAGGAAAAACACTATTTAGAAGCCCATAAACACCACAATTCTGGAAAAAAAAAAAAAAAAAAAAGAAAAGACCAACCAATATATTAGATTCGAGTCAGACTTCCAGCCTAACTTTCCCATCCCAAAATAGTTCTCCTGAGCCAAGTGATGAGCTTGGAAGTTGCTTGTTCTCCAACAGGAAAATAAGTCAGTTCAAGGCCGCTGAGGACACGTCTGGCCTTGTTTTGTCAGGAGATGAAGGTAAAGAGAGAGCGAGGATTAGGGAGGATGCTGGATCCCCTAGCTCATCCTGTGGGAGCAGGCTCAGGATGCAGTGCAGAGGATGCCTCTGTTCTTTCATAGCCCTGTACAATGCTGCTTGACATGAATGCAACAAGGCAGCACTGTAAAGAAGCTGAAAGCCCAGAGATGCAGGAGCGGCCGTGGGGTTGGTGGGGCTCAGCCAGGAAATCCAGAGCAACTCGTAAAAATAACACAGGAGAAATATCCAGCCTCCACATCCTCCATCCCTCCTTTCCTCCTCTGCCAGGGCTGTTCCTCAAAGGGAGGCACATCCCTCAAACAGGCAGCAGCACAGAGGTGATCTCCTAGCCAGGGAGCAAGGGAAGAGACGCCCCAAAATACCTCATTGAGCGCACACATCCGCGCTATGGAGCCGATGTTGTTGGTGATGGTGATCAGGGTGGCCCTGGCCAGGTCCTCCTTGCTGACAGAATCCCTCTTCTCCTTGCTCATCATGTTTCCAAAGCTGTAAAGACAGTTTTTAGGGTTAGAGGTCCCATCAGAACTCCAGGAGACAATGGGAACTGCTAATTTAACCAAAGCAATTCATCTTGAAGGATTGATTCCTATAATATCTAACTTTAAAAAGCGTTGCTGTCACTAACTCAGATCTCTCACGAATGGCTGCTCTCCTGAGCCACCTAAATCCAGATTTTCACGCTTGCTGGACACCCCCAGTGAAAACAAAACGCAGGGGAGGTCGTTACCTGGATGCCACAGCCCAGCCTGGCAGCCCGAACCGCTCGTAGTCTCCCCCGTAGATGTCCCGCACCAGTTTGTCCACTTTGGTGCTGTCCCCCTGGGATGCCATTTCCAGGGCCTCCTCGAAGGTGGAGCATCCCGTGAGGAGGCAGCACAGACCAAAAAACGTTCCCCCTCCAAGGCTGCAGGCAAAAGCAGAATTAAAATCTTCCTTTAAACCTTGCTCCTTTCGCGTAATTTACAGCCCGTAAGGGATCCCTCACAGTCTTCTGCACGGGCCACGGTGCTCAACGAGAGCTCCACTTTGTATTTTACACCATCCACCCTCTTCCCAGCACTCAGGAGATGTTCATCTTAAAATAAACATTAGTTCTGAGGGACAACTGGAGTGGCAGGGCAGGGCCGTCCAAAACCTGGGGGAAACACTTTGTCCTGTTCACTTTATCGTGCACAGACACCAATAAAGATCTACCATAAGAGTAAGAACTATACTGAGGGACTTTATTATTATTATTATTATTATTATTATTATTATTATTATTATTATTATTATTATTATTATTATTATTGTTGTTGTTGTTGTTGTTGTTGTTGTTATTATCTTTCTGGGAATTCAGAAAAGCTTAAAGCCACAGAACTCCTTGCCCTTGCCTGGACACAAGAGCCACAACTCCAGGAAGGGCAAAACCTGGAGAATTACTGCTAAGCCATCATCTCTTCCACCAAAATCAGGCAACTTCTGGAAGTCAGGATGGAAATCTTGACTGCTTGGATCAAGGCTGAGTTCTTAACAGGATCACTGTATTTGGGATAATCCCAAACCAGGTGATCTGATCAAACAGAGCAGTAAAACCCTTAAATTCCTGCAGCAGGGCAAGTGAAAAAGGAGCTTTGACAGAGACTGGCTGCAGCAAAGACACCAAAGCATGAAATCCAGATCCTCTCTTCCAGGAGGGATCTTTGCTGGGAGGGAGAAGGGACTGCAGTAAAAGCAGGAGCTTGGTCATTCCACACACCACCTTTATTGCAGTTTGTCCCTGAAAACGTGATTTACAAGGCAGGAATGTGTTCCAGACTCCAAAACAAAACTCCCTTTCCCCCCTGAGTGCTCACCTGGTGCCCGTTACCCGTTTATAGTTTTCTTTGGAGTAGACGGCCAGAATGCTGACCCCTGAGCCAATGTTCACCAGGAGGAGAGGGTAGGGATTCTCCAGGTTGAACGGGAGCTTCTGGCACCTCTCAGCATCCGTTGGGTTCTCAAAATAGTAACACTCTGAGTGTCCATTGAATCCCACGGAGTCGATGTACAACACTCCTTTAATAAGGCAGTCGAGTTCATCGAGCTTACAAAGCTCAAGGTCACCCATCTGGTGGGAAGGAAGAAGAGGGATATTGAAGGAGCAGGCAGGG